ATCTTTTACTTTGAAATTATCCTTATCCGTGAGGGTGGCTAGCAGGTGTCCTCAAACTACAGCCCACGGGCCACATGTGGCCCACCTAGGACATTTATCCGGCCTGCCAGGTGTTTTTGCCGCTGCTGCCTGTCCTGCTTAGCAGCCGACTCGTCCCAGGGCCTGTAGTCCCACCCTCCAACAGTCTGAGGAACAGTGAACTGGCCCCCTGTTTAAAAAGTTTGAGGACCCCTGGGCTAAAGATGGCGTAGAAAATGGCCGTGGCTAAGTAGGAAGCCTAAGGAGAAGAGAGAAACATGAGCACACAGCTGGATTGAATGAGTTGCATCCTGGTCTGGCCATATCATTGCCTTGGTTACAGAGAGAACCTGCCAATAAAATGACCCCTCCTATTTAAGTGGTTGTGGAGGACTGGCAGGTGGTGACAAAAGACCAGAGGGGGCAGATTTTCAAAAGAAAAGAAATATGGACTCTACAGACTGTTGGGTCCAATGTTAATCTTGGGCAAAAGCCTACAATGGATTCTTAAAGGAATGCTGTGTGAGAACTTGATGATCTCAATATTCTACCTGACTTTGGACCGTGAAGAACTGACTCTTTGTGCTTCCACAGGTTCAACAGGTATGAGGGTAGGACTGTTTACATAGCAGGGATGGCTTCAACATTTTTATCACTGTCTTAGAGCTGGGGAAAAAACTGGCAAATGTAATGAATAACATGCTAAGATCAAAGGAACAGAAACCAGGATACTAAAAAGATAAAAACCTAACAGTGGAGTATCTTAAGCGCAAAACATAACCTGCACCAGCAGTTGGTATTGAATGAAACACACATACACACAACATGACGGGTGTTAGCCAGCCAGCCCCAACTCTTCAGTGTAGTCGTGTTCTCTGACCACATTGATAGAATCGTGTCTGATGTGCCTGAGTCATGGTGCTAAGCCTTATTCCAGCTCTGTGTTGATTGGACTCCACCTAGGGTGGTATGTTTGGCCCCATGCTGAGTCAGCTGACAGCCAACACCAGGTTTCTGCTGCAGGCATTTAACCTGGGGAATGTAGACACAGGAAGATCATGCTAGCAACTTCACATATATTATGGGAGAATCTGCGGAGTCTAATGGGAGTAAGGATAACAGATGACATAGAAGTTGGTAAACCTACCTCTTACCACAATCTAATAAGCAGGTTTCTAGCATTTTGCTCATAATTATAACCTCAGAATTAGAAGACTTTTAGTGGCTGACTGTGGTGGCTAAACCTATAATCCCAGCATTTTAGAAGTCAAGGGGGGAGACCAGGAGTAGAGACCAGCCTGGGCAACATAATGACATCTTATCTCTACTAAATTCTTTAAAAATTAGCTGGATGTGGTGGCACGCAACTATAGTCCCAGCCACTAGGGAGGCGGAGGCAGAAGGATCGTGTCAGCCCAGGAGTTCGAGGCTGCAGTGAGCTGTGATTGTGCCACTACACTCATAGCTCACTCTGTTTTTAGAGACTTTGTGTCTAAAGCAAATAAAAACTAAAAACGAAAGAGTTCACATGATTGGAGAGATGTGATTTTAGCATTGCACAAGCTGTGTTAAAACAATTTTGCCTTGGGATTCATGGTAATGGAGCTGGATTTTTGATATTTACTGAAAAACTAAAGTGAATCATTTGGCACATAAAAGAAAAAGATGTTATTTCCTTAGGTGGAATGGAGGCCTTCTTTGTATTATATATCTAATATTTTTGATTTGAGATGAAACAGTGTCATGTAAAAACATTGTATTTATGTATTTTTTCATGCCTCTTTAAAGGGCAGAATGTGATTCTGTGAACAATCATGTTGAATTGCATCTCCACCTGGGCCCTCAGTATCATTTCTTCAATGGGGCTCTGCATCCAGCAGCCTCTCAAACAGAATGCGTGTGGGATCTGACCTTTGATAAAAGGAAAACTTTAGGAGATCTCCGACAATCAGTATTTCAGGTAATCGAGCCTTATTTACTCTGAATTTAGACAATAAGGGCCATTTCGAGCATTTTATCCTGTTTATGATACAACTTTATTTTTCAAAGCTGCTTAGGAAAAATCTTACAATCCTCCATGTCACAGAGGGCTGGCCCAGACATTCTCCCTTCTTATAAGTCGTTTTGAGAGGCTTTTCCGCCCTGCTCCTACCAGCAGCTTTTCAGGTGGAATCAGGCCTGGTACATTTTATTTGTGGGGAGAAAGAGTATAAATACAGATTTCTCTTTTTTTGGAATGTAAATGAGAAGTACTTTTCAAAGGTGATGAGAAGATAAAGGTGAGCGTCTTGCTTAAAACAGAACTTCAAAACAAATAAAAGCAATTAATTTTGTGCCCCCTAAACAAGGTAGAATTTATTAATAAGATTCTTCATTGTTTCCAAAATAATCTACCCAGCTGGGTTCTAACGGTGATGATAGCAACAGCGGTGCCCTTTATGTCACTTACAGCACTTTCATATAAACTGTGCTATTTGGTTCTTTAACCTTGGTGGGGTGTGCCAGTCCCATTTTGAAGATGAGATAACTGAGATTTAAAGAGATCTAATGTCTTGCCATGGTCAAAAATCAAGTCATGGTAGAACTAGGACTCCAGCCCTGGCCTCCCCACTGTCTATCCAGGCTCCTTTCCTGTGAGTCACTCTACTTCCTGACCAAGGAAGGGGAGATAGAAAATGTAAGCTCCCCCCACCCGAAGTAATTTAAATGGATTTTCTGAAAAACTGTATCACTCACCAAAAGTATTAGCTTTCTTCTGATTTTCTTCTAAGAAAAACAAACGTTTATTTTTTAGCTGATTTGAATGTTATTTAAATGCTGGATCAGTGTCAGGATTTCTCAAGTTGCCTAATATTTCTGAACTGTTCATTAAAAAAAGTTTATTTCTGAGCTAATTCTGACACTTTTGCTATCGGCAGACTTGAGGATCTGAACCTATCTAGGGTGACGTTTCAGATGGAAAAGTTCTTACTGCCTATGCTTTCGTCAGGCATCCTCAAACTATAGCCCGTGGGCCACATGTGGCCCACCAAGGACATCTATCCAGCCCACCAGGTGTTTTTGCTGCCACTGCCTGTCCTACTTAGCAGCTGACTCGTCCTGGGGCCTGAAGTCCGGCCCTCCAACAGTCTGAGGGACAGTGAACTGGCCCCCTGTTTAAAAAGTTTGAGGACCCCTGTTTAGATACACTGCAGTCTGCTTTTTGGTCTTTTAAGCGTACATCCCTACTATTACCTTACAAGTAAGCCACTGGCAAGCGGCTACAAAACTGATACAACAAACTGATCACTTATAAACATGAGATTTCACTGGAGGGGGAAGAAGAGGGGGATTGGTGAGCTCACCTAACGTGCACAACGGAAGGGTCTACAGCTACCCCCTGAGCGAAGGGCTCAACTACAACTTGAACTTCACCTAACAAATGCAAATAATGCAAAGTAATCATTTGTACCTTTGTATTAATGTGAAATAAAAACAAATTGGTATTATAGACAAAGACTGGTTGTGACCTTTATGGGTGACATTTTGGTGAGGTTACCACAGTGTCTAGAGTCTCAGATCTGAAAACTTAAGGAAAAAATCTCTGATAATCTATTAAGTAAACCAGTAATGCCACTTAATACATTTTCAAATTAATGTTCCTTTCAAGGAAACTAGAATAATAGTGTGTGCTGGACTCAGTGTTGTTTTGCCCTGAATGGTACTGACTAACAAATAAGTTTTGTTCTTTTGGGGAAAAGTTCCTATGCTGGCTGATCAGTTTGCTTTCTGCTACGGTGATCTTCCCTTGAATTGAGTAGAACTCTTGACGTAATCGCGCTCCTTGTGTTGTCATCAGTCAGTAATGGTTGAGATTAGTCAATTTTGTATTTGACTGATTTAACTAGTGATTTCTTCCAAATCTTTGCTGTTGGGGTGGGAGTGTGCATCTGCTTGCCCCGTTTCATCTGTATGTGTGAACTGGCACAATGCTGTTCTTACTTAACCTGAGAAGGTGCGGTGTGTCTACTGATGTACATATTTGTACATATGTTACTTTTCACTATTCTCTTTCTTTTAATATTCGTTAGCTGCTAGAATTTTGGGAAGGAGACATGGTTCTTAGCATTGCAAAGCTGGTGCCTGCAGGACTTCACATTTACCAGACACTTGAAGGTAAGATAAAGATGAACACTGCAGTTGGCTTTACACTTTTACGTTTTGTGGGGCTTGTCTGTGCCTTTCTGCCCTTGGCCAGTACTTCCCCCACCTGCTGCATTCTTCGCCATAGATTGTCTTCACACTATCACTTTCAAAATTAATCTATCCAATTTATATAAAATAGGGTGGACATAAAGTTCATGTGCAATTTAAAATAGTTTAACATAGTAAATTGCACACAAACTTTATGAACACCTAGTATAGGAATTTTTTGTAACAAAACATTTTATATTTTCTGAAATTAAAGTGACTTCCCTACTGAATATTTCTTTAAAGGCTTTAGAATTTTTTTTCTATTACTACAAATTGTTGAGTGAAATAGTTTAAAACCATCTGAATCTGATTTAGATGACTTGGTTTTCTGCCCAGCTCTCAGCTTCAGACTTTGAAAAGTACTTCAAAAGTTTAATAATAGTCACCACCTTTAAATAGGAACACAACGATGATGATAGTAGCAGCAGAAGTGACATTTAACTTGGGCTTCAGTATGCCAAGGACTTTAGTAAGTGTTTTATGTGAATTATCTCATTCGATTGTCACGAAATTCTTTCATCCTCATTTCATAAATGAGGAAACAGGAGCTGAGAGACTTGACACCCACAGGGACACGCAGGTGATTAGTGGTGGGGCTCGGACCGGGTGGTGCCCAAGCCTCAGTCCTGTGCACAGTATCATGTACCCCAAATACATTTGGCCTTTGTATCAACCCTTGTCCTACCACTGTGCTCACAAAACTTATGTGACAATACCTTAAAGAAAAACATAAATCAATAAAAATAAAGTCAATATAATAAAAATAATTACAGCTTTTTTTCTTAATTTTCCTTAATAAGAATGTTTTTTCAAGCAAATATTTAAATGTCTCAGCTTTTCTTCAGCTAAATTGTTTTTGATGATCATGACAAATAGTCTCACTGGTGATCTCATCTTTCTAGGAGATGAACTGACACTGTGTGAAATTGAAATTGCTGATGGGGAAGATATCTTTGTATGGAATGGGGTGGAGGTAAAAAAATTACTGAAGAAATATTTATGATAATTTTGGATTTTTAAAAAGGCATTGTAAGGCAATTTTATTCAGCATATGTGAAGGCAATTAGATAATAGAACACTGCTGAAATGTTCAATAAACATTAGGTCCAGTCAGTGTTAGTTGTTTGTTAAGGAGGGATTTATAGAGCACCTCGGTTACGCCAGGCTGACATCAGGTGCTAGATAGGAAAACAAGTCAGTCAGTCAATCCTTCGGAAATTCCTAGTGTGAGTAATAGCACTCTGCCTGCTAGAGTAGAGTCTGTGTACAGCGCCTGAGGGAATTCAGAAGGGAGCGGGTTGAGTAGCTGCACTGACGTAGAGAATGGAGGTGGTTTGGAGGTGAAGAGTGAATTTCTATCTTAAGGTGGTGAGGAGCATCTCAGCCACTCTGTGGACTGACCTTGGTCCATCTGGCTTCATCACTACCACTGATAACTCATCAGTCTCTGCCTTTAGTACAAATTTCTCTCCTTAATAATAAAAAGTGGGTAAGAGGAAGTTTCAAAAGAAAAATCTAAAGTTGTTCCTCTGATACTTAAAAGACACTTGGGAAGATTTAATTTTACTTTTAAAAAATGAGAATTGATCTACGATAGTAGTCTTTACTATGTCATTGTGTTGACTTAATGTTGACCAATATAAACTTACTAATGGGTGTCTTGGTGTGATTACAGGTTGGTGGAGTCCAGATTCAAACTGGTATTGACTGCGAACCTCTGCTTCTAAATGTTCTTTGTCTGGACACAAGCAGTGGAGGAGAAAAGTGTCAGCAGGTGGTAGAATCTCCTTGTGTCTTTCCGTCCAATGCAGAAGTGGGCACTGTCCTCGCAGCCTTAACAGCCCCCACAGGTGTTATCTTCATAAACAGTGCCAAGTGTGCAGGGGAAGCCAGCTGGGCTACCCTTCCCGAGGAAGATATGAAGAAGACGTTCAGAGAACTAGGTCTCAAAAATGGAAGCTCAGTCTTAATTCAGGATTCTAGAAATGCTGATAACAGGTAACTCATTAAAGAGAGAAAAAGAAAGAATTTTTAAAAGTCATTTTAATTACAGTATCATCCAGTAGAACTCTAAAGCTTTATCTTGATGGTGAGTTAAAATGTTGGGTTTTTTTTATTTCTAGACATTGTGTTTTAAATGTTATCTATCAGAATGTTTTAGGTTATGCAACTTAGAGAAAAAAAGTCATGAAGTGATGTTTTGGTAAATGTGGTGAACAAATGGTTTAGGTGTCTTTGGTTTTATAGGCTGGATTTGGCCTAAATTAGTTGGCAAGAAAGCAAATTCCTATCAGGTAAATTATATATATCAGTGCCAATTCCAAATTCTAAATTCCTATCAGGTATATTATATATATCAGTGCCAATTATATAACTGAAGGCACATTCTTATGTAGAAAATTCCTGAAACTTTTCTCGAGGTTGTTATTAAGATCATGGGTAAATTGTGTCTTGGTATTTTGTTATTGGAGATCCGTAAGACAATTCAGTTTTTCCTTATCATCTTTTCTGTGCCTCAAGAGCTGAGTGATTCCACTGCCCAATAGGGTAGTTTCCTGGGAATCACCCCTTAGTCCTTACTCTCATTGAAGCTCAGAAGTGCTGCATCGCTGCCTTGTCATCTCTGTCTGTGACAGGACATTTCCATAGTCAGTGTGTCATGCACTGTATCCCCCACAGTTCCATGAACTGAAGACTTCAAGTGCCCTGTTTTGTCAGTGCTGCAAGTCTCTCCAGACTGTGTTGGTGGCAGGTGGCCCCGAGGAGCCCAGCACTATGCACTGTGCTTATTTTGTGTAACATTCATCACTATTACCCTTTCTGGACAAAAGTTTCCCAGACATGTATTTTCTTCACCCCACTTATAAAAAAGTTTATTGTAGTGTATTCCTCTGCAGAAGGTAACAGACATTTCCTGGGACTTGGGAAATGCAGACGTGAAGATAGAAGAGACCCCAGACAGCACCCATGATGACCATGCAGTGCGAGCATGGTCAGAGTCTGGGGGGGCTTTCCTTTTTTTCTGAACTCAAATTATTGGTTTTTTGTTTTCAAAGTTTTTTCTTTGAAAACATAATAAATAATTATTACTTTGTAAATAAATTGTATCCTGCTCTCCCCTCTACCCATATTTGGCAGCTGTGTAGTGATCTGTGCTGATGTTACAGCCTGCCTGAGTGTGCTCCTGGGTGAGGCAGGACCATGTAGGGAGCAAGGGCAGGGATTAGATTTGTTTACCAACTTTGCCACCTGCCAACAGTATGACCATGGGCAAGTTTTTTTTATCTTTCTCTGTTCAGTTTCTTCTGTAAAATGGAGATAGTACCAACTTCATTGAGTTGAAAGGATTGAAAGAGTTAAGTGCTTACAATGTGTTTGCGCAAAGTGCTAAATATTTTAACTGACAGCAATCACTGTCATATCATCATCCTGTTTTTCACTAAGATCGTGTGCTTCCAACTTTGTTTTATTTAGGATTGCTAACTTAAGATGTCTCAGAGTGGAATAACCTGATATAAACAGTAGAATTGTGTTAGGGCCTTGATAGACACTCCCAAGAGGACTTCTACTGGCCCACTCACTGCTTCTGTGTGAGTTAGAAGGGAGGCACCCTGCGTCAAGACGCTTTACTACTATCTGCAGAAAATTTTTGTTAGAATAGGATACTCCTAGTTGCTATCATAAAACAAAACTCTATAGGAGAAATACAAATATACAGTGTATATGATGCATATGACATGTCTTAGATGTGGCACCTTTGTGCAGTGTCAGCCTGTAAACCATATACCACTACCCTGTTGTTAAACTAAACTGGAATCCTATGGGGTGGACTTTTGGCGGAGATTCTCTTTTAAAGCTCCCTGAGGGATTGTAGAATGCAGGCAGAAGTCAACAACTGATTGTTCAGTTACAGCAGTTCTCTGCAACAAATGTGGCAACAAATTATCCTTACAAATCAAAAAATATCTGAGTTATGAGAATCCATAGACTGCTTTCCAGCATTACCCATAGGTAGCCAGTTTTCAGAGAAACATCTCAGTGGAACCTGGTCACCTTGAATTAGCCTGGTTCAGGGACCCCTGCAGAGTTTTGGAAGTGGTGTGTTAAAAACCTGTTACTTTTCCGATCTTTTCTTTTTACCCACAGTTTGTTGACCAAACAAGGGAAATGGACTGGCATGAATGAAATGGACTGGCTCCAAGTTAAAAATTTCTGCCAGTTAGAATCTGAAGAGAAACAAGTTAAAATATCAGCAACTGTTAACACAGTGAGTAGATTACAATTAAAGTTTAGCTGGTGGTGTTTCAGTTAACAGAACTTTAATTAGAAAACAGTACCTTAACATTTCAGAACTGTTACCTCAATAGACTTCCCAATCTCTTAAGAAATCAACTTTTTCTGGTAGTGCCGGTGGCTTTAGGAGGAGGGTGCTGACCCCATATACCGGAGGTGGCAGGTTCAAACCTGGCCCTGGCCAAAAACTACAACAACAATAAAAGATATCAACTTTTTGTTTTTAGCATTTGATTATTGCTTATTTATCTCTATTAGTCTTTGGCGTATTTCGGGAAAATACATGGCTTTTTCCCCCTCCAAAGCCTGGAATTAGAATGAGGGCGTTACCTATTTTGTTAGTTCATGGAATCCCAGAAAATGAAATTCTCTGGCTTCCTTAAAAATGCCATTTTCAAGGCTCCTTTCTGTGTTTTTTAAGCAAAGTATACATATTTTGGTTTTGTGCTGAGGGTTCTTGTTTTTGACTTTATCTTAGGTGGCTCTGCTCCTAGCCTATGCTCTGCACACAGCCGGCTGCTCTTTCATGTTTCATTTCGAGACTGTGATGCTGGTTTTTATTTTGGTTGCTCTCATCAGAAAAGTTAGTGGTTTGTCAGCTTATTCCCTTTCCAGCTAGAATTGTTTCCTTAGTTTTCTGTAGGTGTCCTTTCTATCCCAATTAAAATCAATTTGGTAAAAATTTAACTATGAGGATCTATTCTAAGTTTTTGGTTTTGAGTCTATAAAAAATTTTAGGGATGGAAAAATTTTTTTCTTCAAGCAGGCAAAAGCTAGTACATTTCAAGTAATTAATATCTCAGATAATCTGTGCACACACTGATAATCTTCATTTTTGTCTCTTTCCATTGGCTTCAACTTATACATGGTCATTAGTTTATTTTTCTATTTCAGGTGGTGTTTGATATTCGAATTAAAGCCATACAGAAATTAAAATTAATGAAAGAACTAGGTAATCATATACATTTGCTTTTTTGGTTCTTGGTTTAATTTTGTTTTGAGTTTTAATTGAAAAAAAATATATGGGAACGTATAAAGAAAGTTTAGGGAAAACTCATGCACCTCCCATGCAAAGTGGACAGATGTTAACATGTTGGCATGTGTTTGTTTTTGGTTGAAACTTTGAAATAAGGTCCTTTGTGTCCTTCTCAGACCTATTCCCTCTCTCTCCCCAGATGCAACCAGTATGTCTGATTTGAGTTTAGTGGTTCCAAGTGTTCATATCATAATATATATTAATATATCATGCTTATACATATGTGTATGTGTATATATTATATTTTCCTACTTACATAAATTGTCATACTGAATATAACTGTAGACTCACTGATCATCAGCATTAGGTTTTCTTAAACCACTTTATTAAGTTATAACTTAACATACCATAAAATTGACTCATTTAAATGTATAATTCAGTGATTATCAGTATATAGAATTATATAACACCACCACAGTCCAATTTTAGAACACTTTCATCACTCCGAAAAGATCCTTGGATCGATGTGTATTCCAGGCCTCTGACAACCAGTAATCTACTTACTTTTGTCTTTATAAACTTGATTTTCTCAACATTTCCTATAAAGGGAACCATACAATATGTAGTGTTTGTGCTGAGCTTCTTTCACTTCACGTACTGTTTTTAAGGTTCAACTATGATTTAGCTTGTATCAACAGCCTAATCTTTTTTCTTGTTGACTCATATTCCATGGTATGGATATATCACATTTTGTTTATCATGGACAAGCTTGACTTGATGGACATTTGAACTGTTTCCACTTTTAGACCTTTATGAGTAGTGCTGCTATAAACATTTGCATAAAAGACTTTGTGAGGACATATGTTTTCATTTCTCTTGGGTAGATGTACAAGATTTGGAATTGCTGGGTCATATGGCAAATTTATGTTTAACTTTGTAAAATATTGCTATACTGTTTTCCAAAGTGGTGACCTGTTTCCATTCCCACTAGCAGTGTGTCAGGGTCGCAGTTTCTGTACATCCTTGCCAATCTTTGTGATTGCCTTTTTGACTTTAGCCGTGTTACTAAATTTGAATTGGTATCTCATGTGCAAGTTTCATAAGAACTCAAAATCAATACATAGAGATCTATTTTATTTTTATTCTCTAGCAGCAACTAAAGGATATGAGAATTAATAAAACATTCTTAGTAGCACAAATTATCATGAAATACTTGGGGATAAATTTTTTAAAATATGTGCAAACCTTGTGCACTGAAAACTAGAAAACGTTGCTATGAGATATTGAAAAAGCCTTGAGTAATTGGAGCCATGTACCATGTTCATGGATCAGAAGATGCAATATTGTTAAGAGGATAATTCTCCCCAAATTGATTTATAGATTCAGTGCATTCCCAAAATCCTAGCCTTTTTCTAGAAATTAACAAGCTGTTTATAAAATTTATATGGACGTGCAAAGAATCTAAAGAAGGTATAATAATTCTGAGGGAAAAAAATCCCCAAATTTGCAAGAGTTACATTATCTGATTTCAAACTTATTCTAGATGCTGTGTTCTAGCATACAGGTGGACACATAGGACAGGGGTCAGCAAACCATGGCCTACAACCTGTTTTTACACAGCTAGTAAACAAAGAATAGTTTTTGTACTTTAAAAAGGCTGTTTAAAGAAGAATGTGCAGCAGAGAAGCCTAAAGTATTTACAGTGAAACTAAATAGAGAATCGAGAAATAGGTGCATAAAGGTGCCAAGGTATTTGCATGCAGAAAGATAGTACAAGGTTGGACAATTAAGTTTATAAACTCATCTTAGAAAAAGTGCTACATACTTCATTATAAAGGAAAATATGTGAAACCTAGTCAAATAGCCAGCATCCCAGCCTGAACTGGGAAGACCAAACAGACACTTTCCAAAATGAGAACTACCTGTGAGTGACCAGCAAGTACAAATGCTCGGACTCACTGGCCCGCAAAGCCATAGTGACATGCTTCTATGCCCTAGTACTGACTGGCCAAGAGTTAGTAAAGACGTGGAGCAGCTGGAGCTCCCATAACCTGGGGGGATTATCAAACTCTACAGTCACTTTGGAAAAGTTCTATTCTTTCTTAAAAATTTAAACATTCACTTACCAGTTCTACTTCTAAATACTTACGAAGATAAGTTAAAACATAGTCTCTTACAAAGAGACTCACAACTGGACACAACTCAAATGCCCATGAGCAAGTAAATGGATGAGAAGTTGTGTATGTAAACAGGAGACACTATTTGTCACTGAAAAGCAGTGAACTGCTAGTTCCACCACAAGCAAAACCTGGATGAGCCTCAGTTATTATAGGGGAAGGAGGGTTGGTGCAGAAGAGCTGTACGTACGAAACTCCAGAGGAAGAAATCTCAGCTACATTTATAGGAGGTGGATCAAGATCGAGGGGTAACTACAAAGTGGCACAGGAGTTTTAGGGGGTGATGCAATTAATTTGCCCTTGGTTCCAGGTGTTTATATTTATCAGACTCTATGAACTAGATCTGTTTTATTACAAGTAAATTATAATTCAGTAAAGTTCATTAAAAGCCTATGATTTTATAAAATGAGTGGTTCACTATCTTCCCCTGTAGCCAGTCTCCCTTCTTCCACTCTGGCTGTCCTCCCAACCATTCTTCATATAGCAGGTGATCTTCTTCAGTACCTGTGACCCTATGCCCAAAGTCCTCTACTGCTTTTCCATTGCATTTAGGCTGATTCCTTAAACTAACCTACAAGAATCTGCATTATCTGACCCCTGTCTACCTATAACCTCATTGGGACCCACTTTTCTGCTCATACATGGTATACTTCCCATGCTGGCTTCTTTGAGTGTCTCGATACACAATCTGGCTTCCACCCAAGTCCTAGTACTTTGAACTCTCTCTGAACTCTATTCCCTTCACGCACTTTCTTTTTTTAGAGAGACGGGGCTTCACTCTTGTAGTGGCATCATCATAGTTTACCGCAACCTCAAGCAATTCAATCCTCCTGGGCTCGAGCAGTCCAGTCCTCCTGCCCCATGCCTGTCTAATTCTTTTATCTTTTTAGAGATGGGATCTCCCTATATTGCCCAGACTGGTCTCAAACTCCTGGCTTCAAGTGATCCTAGTAACTCAGCCTTCCAATGTGCTGGGATTATAGGCATGAGCCACCATGCCGAACCTCCCTTCAGTCTTTATCTGTTGACTTCAGTTATTCATTTGGTCTCAGCTGAAATGTTATTTCTACTTTCATTCCTGGCCACACAATCTCAGTTTATCTGCCTGTTGTATTCTCCTTACACCCTGTATTGCCTTTTTATTTGTGTCATTAATAACTACTGCCCCCATTAGACAAGGTTCTGTGAGGACCAGGTCCACACTTCTTTGCTTATTGCTGTATCACCAGTTTCTAGACAGTGCCTGGCACAGAGGATACTCAGTGCCTGTTGAATGAAAATGAAGATTATAAGGAGACAGTATTTAAAAAGCACCTTTTAATCTGAAGAACTCCTTTTATAAACTGTTTCAGTTGACAAGAAGTTCACGTTAGAATTATATGCTAGCTTCATATTACTGTAGTATAAGATACTGAACTCAGGATCACAGAAAGAGATTCTTCTATGATCTAATAAAGTTAGAACTTCTAAGGCCCATGCTGTTCTTCCCCATTCAGAAAGTTCAGCCGTCCCTCCACCAGCCACTGATTTATGTCCTGCTTTGTAAGAATTCTGTTTGGACTAAAAACTTGGTGTGTTCCTTCCCACAAAGCAGAAACCTATATCCTCAGAAATAGTGCATGCTGGCACTAACCCATTTAATAAACATAAAATCACCCAACATATTTTAAATCCAGGAAGTTCTGATACGTACAAGGTTTAGTTAGCACAGTTAAGTTCTGTAACAGCAGTCCCCCAATAACATGGTTCAGAGTTCAACAGCCATCGTGTTAACTGTGAGTAACTGAGCACAGTACCAACTTGGCCGCTGACTCTGCAGTGTACAGATCACCACACAGGTAACAGAGGGACAGCAGGAGAGCCCGCAAGCACTGTGCTTGGCGGTTGGTCAGTGCATATGCAGCTCACTGCACAGGCAGCAGAAGGTGTAGCTGTGTTGCTTTTCTCCCAGCAGTAAACTCATGTGACGTTTTACCAGAATGGATAATTGAAAGAGTTAACCAACACAGAAGGAAGTGCACAAAGAGGCAAAGATGTATGGGATTCGGGAATTATTGACCCTGCTGCCACTTGAGGGGCTGTAGATACGCAGCTGAGGAATTTGGTAGAAATGGACTTAACAACACGAGTGAGCATAGTGGTGATGGAAAGGATGAAGCCACCCAGCAGAAGTGAAGCTGGCAGAGACTTCTCCTTAAAGGGACTCTCCAAGTACTTCATGAGAGTTTTCCAATTACTTCATTCAAAGCACAAAATAAAAATCACTGGAAGCTGATCCATATCATAAACTGTACAATGAGAAGAAACCAAGCCCTGTTTAAACTACTTGCCATTTGTGTTTTACAATTTCCAGTGTTTTAAATTACAATGTAAATACTAGTTTTACTAGTTTTTCTTTTCCCAACATGTGTAATAGTTTTAAATGTTTTGACAAAAATTTTTTAAATTTAATTAATTTAAATTTAATTAATTTTAATTAATTTAATTTTAATTAATTTAAATTTAATTAATTTAAATTTAATTTAAAAATTAAAATTGTAATTTTTCCCATTGATTATTAAGATTGCTTTGCAGTTTCAGCTTGTATTTGTACAGTCTTGCACCGTTGTGCAAAGGAAAAAGTGTGTGTACTTGTTTGGGGGGTGTTGGTTGTGTGTGTATAGGGAGCTGTTTTCCATTTCTGTTCTGGTTTTTTAGTTGACTGTAGCTTGCTTCTACACTGTAGA